AAAAAAAATTCTTCCTCCCCATGCGGAATCAAGTACTAATACTGACTTGCGCTGTTATCCGAGATATAAATACAAATTGACTGAATTTGCTCGAAAAATTGTACTCCCTCAATGCATTCAAACAAGATTTTTCCTCAGTTTGTGAATACCTCATCCCCCTGTTTCCTGTCCCAAAGTCAAACGCCCACTGTAAGAGCAAACGTCAATCGGGTACTTACTGAAGTATTTGCATTGTTACCAGGATACATAGGGAAGGTGTCATTACTTAGAAACATAACTGAGATGTGAGTATCTCCGTAAAATCTCAGCTTAATAACCGTTAAAATAGTGCATATCATTTTCCCAGCTTAAGATGATTTTATTGCTCAAACTTTCTCTGTACTCAACCATAGAGAGAGGAAAATTATATAAGTCAAACTGTTGAAATTACCTTGGAAGCACGTTCATATAGTCTGTCCAAAAGTCATTAGTGCCACGTTGGTTCAAGATGAGATTTGGAAGAACTCTGCTTCCTCTAAAATCCTTATAGCAGCCCATAGCTGTTAAGGTGGTTGGACAACTTTGACCAAGTGCTAAACGAAAAAGAAACTTTCTTACATGAAGTCGCCTTTTTCATGTCTTCTCTTTTTCTCAATCTCACTTTTGCGTTCAAATTATACTTGCAAGCGTTTCAAAAATAAAACTATCAGTATCAAGACCGAACGCTTTTTCACTGTAATGGTCTTTTCCTTGTAACAGTTTTATCATTCTTTTAATCACGTTTAGCTAAATTTAAAAATCCTCTCATTCTGTTTAGTGCCAGTAATTTGAAAATACTCACACCTTGATTTTTAAAGTTAGGAGGAAAATATACGGAGTATTTTTCATTTGTTTACTTCTCACAAGCCGCCATCATCATACAAAAGAGAACCCACCAGTGAAATAAGGAATACAATTAGAGGGAGACATTCGTGTTTTATAACTTTAGTTATTATAACTAAATACTCACCCTTGTATGTAACAGATGCGAAAACGAAAACCATAATCGAGACTGGAATTGAACTCATGATTTACAGTACTACGCTAAAAGTGAAGGTTTGCTAGCAGTTGGTTGTTTAATGGTTGGTAATTGAAAACTGTAGATAAATCCACTTAACGAATCGACCACTAAGTGCAGGGTCTTTATCAGTTATAAAGGCCGAGAAAATTAACGTGAATCGTCACTAAGAAACCATGGGCTGTTTTTCAAACTTTCGCCCACGAATTGATAAAAACGGTGGAAAGCTTTAAAATTATGGGCGAGTTGTAACGATAGAGGTGGATTTTACATTGCAACACGCTTACTTCAGATTTACGGTTGAAATCTGACTCAAATGGTTATGGCCTGGCCTTATCATTATCATTATCAATATACTCAGTTGAAAAGTGCAGAAGATTCATTTCATCTCAAGCTATTCGTTCCAAAAATTTTGATTTAAAGATTCATTGTCTAGCATAGTTGAAAAAAAGTTTAATCTCTTTTTGTTATTCCCCTTTACTCTTTATGTAAACTGAACACTTTCAGTTTGTCTATAGTTAACTAGAAAATATATTGGGTAAAAATGAAATAGTTGTACAATGAAACTCTATTTATAACAGCTCCAATGGTGTTAACAGTTTTCTTATATTTGAGAGTTGTTTTTTGAGATTTCCAAAACGCGTTGAGTGGTTTCCAAACGTTTTTCTACGCAATTCAGTAGTTTCGGTTCTTTGTAAGAAATTTAAAGAGCTTTGATGAAAGACACGTGCATTGATATTGGAAGCTAACAAAAATTTTAAAAAAAATTTGTCTTTCATAATAAGGCATCGCGGTAAACTCAGAAATAATTGGGAAAAATGGTAAAGTATGAAAAATAGGTGAAAATAATCAGTTTATCTGAATGAAAAACTACAGTAGATATTAGACTGTCTTTTAAGCAAGTTTTTTGGGGAAAATATGAGCAAAACTTTGACGTTCTCTGAGGTAATGATGCAAGTGCAGTTCTTTGAAGTCGTAATACACATGTGCCTTATATGGTTTATTATTTCTTTATAATATAACTTTTATGATATGAGAAGTATTCTTCTTAAAAGGTAAACATATATTTCTCTTTTGAACAGGACTGAAAATTTGAATCTCTACCTCAATACCTGCTTGTTTGAGTGTGTGTATGAACAGCAAAGCAGAATTTGCCTTCCTAGGCTTCAGGAATGCAGAATCAAATCTGGACTGCTGATGTCAACAGCGATGTTGCACGTGCCTACGCTAACGTTAAATTTTTCGATGATATGTTTATTTCGCAGATAGATTGAGCAGCTCTACTTGGCTTGTTAAGTTATAATGAAGCCATTAAAATGGTTGAGAATGATTTTTTAGTTTCCCTAGAAACCAGTGGTGAAATAAGTAATCCATGTTAACATATTAAAAAACGTTCCTGGCCTTACCACATAGTAAGCAAACTTTATTCCTCGACTGGGATAAAAGAGCCTAAAATCATTTGTTTTTCTTGGTTTCCTTTCGTCGGTTTGTTTGTTTGTTTGGTGTTTATTTTTTAAATTTGGTGGAGGGCTTGGGTGACTCTGAAGTAAGCCTGTTAAGTATGTGGTCTCACTTGAGAAATTTACCAAGTTTTACCAAGAGAGAGCTTACAGACTACGTTGCCTTTCTTATTTTACCAAAACTGAACGGAAATATTTCTTCCAAGAACAAAGACCCTTCCTTCTCACCAATCCCGGATATTCCAATCAGTTTGGAAATGTGTCAATTACTGTATATTGAAAATTAGTAGAATGTTGCGACCATGACCACGCATATATCTTTTTTATGCACAATTTTGGGTTTACCTGGAGTACTAACTTTACAACACATGTTTGTGTGTTAGTGAGGGCGTGCAAATTCACTACAAACCCCGGCAGTGCCACCTCGATCGCTCGACTTAATTAACCTCACGCTCGTTGTCTTTACGGCGTTGAAATTCAGCTGTGGCAAATGAGCTTGACTTCCATCCTTATTTTATCTTTGTAAGTTATTCATTTATTTGATGCAGTAAATTTTGTTGTTTACTCTGACCCCGGGATTATGTTTACTTTTACCTACTAACTAATGAGTTCTTTTCTCCTCTGAGCAATTTAAATTATAATTACAGTTTGTTATCATTTCTGAATAAATTTGGATGGGTCTCTACGTGACTATAATTGAAAAAACAGCCTTTGTCCTCAAACCGCTTTAAATGACCGTAATTCATTTTAACAATTCATATAAAAAGGTTCAGCGGTCACGGCTAGAATTTACTTTTAGTATATACTAAAACAGTGAGATAATATAGCACGACAAATGATTTCAACTCATTCATTCCTGCAAAGATTATGATATTATCGGGCGTAAATCCTACGTGAATGGCTAAGGGTGAACAGTTGTTTAAGTATATACTAAAACAGTGAGACTGAATATACACCACCAAAAATTGATTTTAATTTATATATTCCAGCAACGATTCCAACATTTTCACGCGCGGAAGTGAACAAGTGAGGTTACGCAAGATAATTTACATTTGTAAACAAAACCTTTCTCATTGGCTTTTATCGATAAACTCCGGGTTAAAAACCTAAACCATTAGATTTAAACACGGCCAAACCAAATTTAGTCGCTTTCTTTGTGTCAGAGACTGCTTCGTCGTTAATTTAAGTGATTTCTTCGCTTGTCACGGATGCAAATCGGGACGCCATTTTTCCCGAGTTGCTCGGAGGTAAATAGCAAAGGATATTCGGAGTTTGACGAACCAATCAGAGCGCGCTTTCAACGCTATCCACTTTTTTAGTATACACTAACAAAAGATATTCGGAGTTTGAATAACTAAGCAGAGCGAGCCTCTAACGCTATCCACTGTTTTAGTATATACTTAGTTAAGATGAATATTGCTTGCGAATGAAATGGGCCTGCGAAATAGGTAGACTGTTAATTAAATTATTCCAACAACTGATTATATGCGGTTTGCACCTTATGTCATTGCAGCCATGTTGATGGACGTAATCAATAGATATATTCTCAGCTTCTTTTGTTCGTCCACCAGCATTTGTTCCTTTCACCATTGTTACCTATGTTTCTAGGGATTGGTTGCAAACCACCTATAGCTGGAGATGAAATAAGTTCCCATCTGTCTCATTTCCCGTATAACCTTCCCCTGGACTCTTGTCATATTTTCCTTTCCCTCCTTATTGTATCGAATGAAATACATTTTTTTTAAATAAACATACATTTCGTTCTTGTCAGTAAAGCCATATTCCAGTTAGTACTAACTAACTTTATAATTTCAGCATAGGGAACTCATGAATACTTATGATGGTAAATTCTAAATTACATAATGTTGGCGCCGGAATAGTTGCGTACAAACGCTACATATTTTCAGCTGGCCATTTTAGGTTTCTTTTATTTTTCGGCTTACGTACAGATCACCTTATTTTTATGTTATTTGTAAACTCTTTTAAGAGTCAACGAGCTCTCACAATACCTTTTTTGTTGGTTTGGTTTGTTTCCTATTTTAATATGGTTTTGAATGATAAATATTTGAATAATTTTCTATCTTTGGTGCGCCTATTTACTGAAAGAATTACCTCCAAGAAAGACAAAGCAGCAGTTTTCCAGAAAAGCGATAAAACGGCCGAGTTGCTCTTTAACTTTGTCCAGAATTACTAGGTGTCAACCATCTGCTTATCTCCGACATCTTCGATCATCGTAAGATATTCATAAGAGTGCTGATTAGATCATGAATATAAGAGTCGAAGAGGTGTCAAAGACGCCTTTGAGGATTAAGAGCGACTAACCACGCTATACGGGTCAGAATTAGCACCATTTCAAAATTTCACAAATGGGGATGTGCATTTCAAAGTATTAAGATTAGAAATAATTGTCAACGCTGATTCCATTTGCCTTGGCATTCCAGTAGGTCGTTTTAGCAAATGAGTCTGGGTTTGTCTCCTTCGACGTCACAAAAAGTCGCTTTCCAATGGAGAGTTTCTCGTTTAAAATTTTTAAATTGTTTTGTTATTCACTTGTCTTTGTCTTTGGCGTCGTGGGAAATGTTCTGGTGTTTCGAATGGTCGTGAAAAGAAGAAAACTGCGAACTGTTAGTAACATTTTCATTTGCAATCTTGCCGCAGCCGACATCGCCGTCCTCACTGTGAATCTTCCGTTTCGCTTGGCATATCAAGAAAATTCTTACATTTGGCCTTTTGGTGCTGTGTTATGTAAGACAATACCAACGCTAGCTTACGTTTTTATCACCGCTTCATCAATGACACTGGTTATAATGACTCTAGACCAATATCGAGCCATTACCAAGCCTTTGGGTAGAAGATTTACCGTGAAAACCACCAAATTTGCCATTGTGTTAAGCTGGACTTTTTCTGTACTCATTGCTCTTCCGTTCAATTTCGCGCTAAGGGTAGTGAAACGTCGGGACGGTCAGCCAGTTTGTACAGACGCATGGCCCAGCGACAATTTTGAACGATTCTACTTTTTGTGCCTATTTGTGGTGCAGTTTATTATACCCATGGCAATAATAGTGTGCTGCTATACTCTCATATGCGGCCATCTTAACTCGAAAACGAGACTGGACCATCTTCCGCGCACGTTAAATAAGAAACGCTCAGATCGAAATAAAAAGGTAAGATGAGCCATTTTCTGAGACTTTAATATCATTTTTTATCTTTGCAATCGAAGGAGATTTGACAACTTAAGATTTTGTTGACCTCCGTTTGGATCATTCCCGGGCCGTTATCGTTCATTGTTAGAGTGGGAGAGGGGTCATTTAAGTTTCATTGCCATTATTTCCAAAATTTCACGCAAAGATGTCGAAAAAACCATCGTGATAATATCTTGATTAACTGAAAATACTAGTTATAGTAGGCTTTGATGAGTCGACATCTGGATTAGAGAGTTACTATGGTTACCTAAAGATACTGCATGATACTCGAATCGCATTTAGGGCTAAGAGATAACATTCTTTGAATTTCTCTTCAAAATACTTTGCGTTTAAAATTGTAACTACAGGCAAAAAAAAAAAAAAGGAACGTTTAAAAGGCAATGATCATACGGCGGCTCTGGAAAAAAAAGATGGATATATAAATTCATTTGGTTTGCCATAAGTTTTCCTATCGGCTTAAAAAATCTGCATATCTGTAATATACAAAGCTAGGGCTGAAGAACATTCGGTATGAATGAAACCTTAAAACTTTGCTTTGATGAAATTTTAACTAATTGAGATGGTAAATACATTATAAAATGAACCAACTTAGGTGAAACTTTATTACCAAAGTGATATGCAGATCGGATTTACGAGAGATTACTGATCACGTACCGCCCCGATCGTTTAGGAGTGCATCGCTAATTATTCATTATGGACTATCGCCAAGTCAGTCGATTTCAAAGATGTTTAGATCTCAAGATGAAATTTCCTTTACTTGAGCGAACTGTTGGTGTGGGTTTTAATTGAGAATTTCGCCAGTAAGCGCGTAAGTAAAATATCAGAGAACCTATTTCTTGTGTGATAAAACTGAATTCAAGTCACAAACAGGCTGACCACACGACAGAATATTGCTGAAATAGAAAAATTTTCCTAGTTAAGGCACGCGGGAAACATGTTGCGGAGACAAATTTATCTTCTCGGAAGCAAAAAATTGTTATTAAAAACCCTTTTCTTCCTGGACACACGAATTTCCCAGTTAAGACACTGTGGCAGATAATACTTTTTAAACGCTTTCTGGCGATTCAGCCAACTCCTAAACATATCAAGAAACGATGTTTCTGTAACTCTGTTTCCTTTTCAAGCGAGGCCCTGGGGAATTGTCCAAGAAAGACTGGAATCCGACTGTCCCCTGAGAAAAATTAAATTTTTTCTTGGTTTACGTTACTGAAGTCATGACAGAAGAAAAGTGAAATTTTAGGGAGGAGTCACGAGTTATGATTGAGTATTGTTTCAACAAAAATTGAGGGAGAATCAGAATTCGACGATGTCTGGGTGGACAGTAAACCAAAAAGGTGTTATAATACCGTGTTTTTAGAAAGATATCTTAATCTGCCTCTGAATAAGTCAGCAAAATGCTTTTCCAAGAGAAAGTTCTAAGAAAAGCGCAGAAAATAAACTTCAACACTTTTCAGGAGAGGATCTGGGACACAGGGAGTTCTGAGCCAGTCTTCTGGCTAGTGGCTGGCTGAGCGCCAGTAGGTCTCTCCCGACCATGCTCAGCAACATTTGAGCAACTTTTGGTGTTTGGAGCAACTTTTTGTGGTTCTAGCAACCTTGAGAAATTTTGCCTTTCGGAGCATTTGTTTTCTTGCAAAATATAGGTTTAGGGCAGACATCAAGTACAAAAAAAGTCAACGATTTAATAAAAAACTGTAATCTATGCGAATTTCATAATTTTTATCAACATTTTGAACAGGTAACTTATCACTTAGCGGCGTTTCGCAGGCCCGGTTACGATCCTCGTCTAAGCGCCAGTACCGGACAGCGGTACAGTGTTCGTGAGCATGCGTGGCCTCGGACCCGCGCGGTTCTACTTGAGCCAGCGAGCCCGCTCGTTCGGCTTTCAGTTTGGTCATTCATTAAAAAGGCTTGTTGTGTTACGAATCGTGTCGTCGGTGTATCTCTCCATTCTTTAACTGGTAAAGATTAATATTATAACGGATAATCGGCTAAAATGACTTTCGGCAAGATGTCAAATGAACCACGTGTTACGTTCCGTTAAAGTGCACCGAAACTCCCAAATTGTTTTTCGCTTAACGAAATAAGCGTATTTTTTGGAGTATTTCTGTGCAAAAATTTTTCTATTTGCTCAAATCTTCAATTTTCTTTGCCCAGTCAAAATACGGAAAATCGGCAGCCATCTTGGCCCACGACCGAGTTTAGAGAGAAATTGTTCTACCGGGGTAATATGACGTCAAATCGAGAACACGAAAGTCTGCATTTCACATTACCCGCTAGAACCATTCCTCTTTAAACTCGGTCATGAGCCAAGATGGGGCCGATTTTCCGTGTTTTGATTGGGCACAGAAAATTAAAGATTTGAGCAAATAAAAAAAATTTTGCACAGAAACACTCCAAAAAATACACTTATTTCGTTAAGCGAAAACAAATTTTGGGTTTAGGTGCACTTTAAACAAAGTTTTAAGCTAATTTATATTTCTCGACCGCTGTTATTGTGAAGATGGAAAGATGAAAGCTTTAAATTAACGCTTATGTAAGAATATCATTAGCATTTTTAGGTTGCAACTTTTGAAATTTAGAGAGCAAATTTTTGGAATTTTGACAGTTTTTTTAGCAACTATTTTAGCATTCCGATGAGCAACTTTCCAGACGAGCACTTCCCTGGCCTAAGTGCCAGGGAAGAGGTTCGAAAAATGTACGCCTTCTTATTCTTTTTTTCTTCATCCATAGGTGATCAAAATGTTGGTCGTAGTAGCAGCTGTCTATGCTCTTTTCACCTTGCCGTATCACGTGACGTGGCTGTTCAGCGTGTTTGGTTATCCAAACTCCGTTGCTAAGAAACTGTGCGTTCTCTTTGTAATAGCGACCAGTGCCGCTCATCCAATAATTTACGGTACGCTGAACCAAGAATTCAACAAAGGATTCAAAGCGTTTTTCAGATGTTTGAGGCAAAAAGAGGATGACGAGTATCAGATGGATAATAGAATAGCGACCAGGAGATTAAATGAAAAATGCTCTCACACTTATCAAGTTAGAGGGCGGGATATTCGCCAAGGAAAACAAAGAGAGAATCATGAAGAAGTTGAGGCACAACTTATAACTTGCGTATGAAGGTTATGGAAAACAGTGGGAAGAAACGGTCAAATGATCCCTATAGTCTTAGGCAGAGACGAAGGGAAACCAACAGAAAAACTAAATTAGGCCGGTGCGATTCCCACAAGAACTCTTAGGCGTGCCGAGGAGCGTTAACAAGCAAAAAAAATTGTACAAGCCTGAAAGAACCCACTGGCATGCAGCCTTTAGCGCGCAGACTACTGTAACACTGAATTAAATGGAACTTATAGTTCGATCATCACCATCATAGTCATGTGATACGGATTTAAATCTTTAACGAAAGACTAAAAGAAGAACGTGAACTTTGTGCTTTGTTAAGAAACGAGCATTTTAATCGGAAAAATTTACCCTAAACGTACGGAGTCTTGCCCCCTTGAACTGGCGCGTATTTTAGGCAGCCACTTTCACTGGCCCGACGTAGCCTCCCGACTTATAATTTCCTTCTCTCTTTCTCATTACAATTATAAGGTCACGTGCTATTTGCAATATGAGTACATGGAATACATCGGAATCTATCCCCCAAAGCCATGTTTGCAAGTCTCGCCTTTGGCTGCTGTATAATTTTTTTCAAGTGAGAAGCAGAATTTGGTGTTGGATAAAGAGACAAATTAGTAACTTGAAAAAGATTGTTACCCTAAGAGTTTTTAGCCCTTCATTTTAGGACTTTTTTAGTGTTGAAAGTTTCTGAAAACAATCTTCCGTCATGTATAAAGTGTTTTAATGTTATTAGAGGATTACAAAACCCAAGAAAGCCATTTTTATGCTCTGATTGTTTCTGAAAGTTTAGAATTCCAAGTTCTTGGCAATTACTAAATACATACATACATACATACATACATACATATATACATACATATACATACATACATTTATTTGGTAAAGCAGGTTAAGTTACATACAATGGCAGCAAAAAGCTGATGTGGACCTGCCTAAAATAAATTAAATAAAAGTAGGATGATGTAAAATGTATAAATAAAAACAAGTTAAAAATATACATAGTCATCGTGTTTATTAGCTATCACAGAAGCTCTAAATGAGAAGTTATTAATGTCCTTGGAAAATCTACGCAAAATTTGCTTGAATTTGTCTTTGCTCAACGACTCATTTGTATTAATTAATCTATTAAGAAATGTCCAAATTGTTGGTTCTCTATATTGAATAGATTGTTTGCCAATTTCATATTTGACACGTGGAATAACAAATTGGCTTCCCCTTCGTGAAGATCTACTACCAGACTTTAAAGTAAATAAAGATGCAAGGTCGTCAGGAACATTATGTTTGATGACATCAAACATGAACAGCAGTAAGCATCTTTTATAGAAGTAGGACAAGGGAAGCCAGTTGAGACTTTGAAGATCATCTTGATCGTGAATTAGCCTAGCTGCTCTATCATGTATAGGATACAAGGAGTTGAGCATAGCAGAACTTACAATTCCCCCACATAACTATACCATATATCACTGCTGGTATAATGGATTTAAAATAAATTTCCTCTAATAATTTAGGGGGTAATTGCCTCATACGTTTTTTAAGGCACCAACTTTTTGTGACAAGTGCTTCTTTATATGGCAAATATGCTTTGACCAAGACAAACAGCTGTCAATAGTCAGTCATAAACAAGTAGTATGATCCACAACGTTGACATACTTGTCTCCAAACAATATTGGGGCAGCAGGACCAATAAAACCCTGCTTAGTAAGAATCATGGACTCAGTTTTAATGGGGTGGATGCTCAACTTAGACCTAAGGCTCCAGAGTCTTAATAATACAGATGAGTGTAAATAGCTTTACTTTGAGCCTATATGCCTTGATTTACCTATCAAAAACGGACAGCTGATGTCCAGCTAGGCGTACGTAGAGTCTATGACTATGGGAGTAATTTCATATCGTGTTGGCCTGACTGCCGCATCGCAAATATCTGCAGTCAGACATGTCCCACGCATATTTGCTTAAAACCTGCTCTTTCATGGCTTTTTCTTTGTCGATTTTACGAGTATCCTTGGCAGTTATCTTGAGCAGTTGTAGGTGATCTTTATGCCTTCTTATTCCTGCTCTTTGGTTTCCTTCAGTGTTGTTATTCGCGTCGTTATGCGTACTCTCCGACCACGCTCGTTGCAAGTATGGCGAAGTAACACCAGAACTCTGCCGACGAGGGACTTTCAATGAGCATGTGTTCTTTGCATCACTGAAGTGTTGCAAAGAGAGTCTTCTCCTTTTGTCAGCTGCAGTTTTGATTTCAAGCTGCCTTATCATAACTTGCTCGGCTACTTTCTCTTCTTTCTCTGAAAGATCAGAATTTTCGTTATCCGAAGTTAAGCCTGTGGTCAAGGAAGCACTTCCAGTTTTCTGCTTGCGACCAATGGCACTTTTCGGTGTATTTTCGTTTTCGAATGCATTCTGCGTCGGCCTGGATTCGGCATCAAGTCGAGGGGTGCTTGGATTGTCCGACTGTAAATACTTCCTCGACGAGCCAAGAACTGGCGTGTTGCATTTTCGTAGATCAGACTGCTGTTCATGAATACTGCCGTTATAGCTTCTACTACTCTGAGGCCGTTGAGAAAGAAGAACAGAATTCGAGACACCGAGTGTGTTTGCTTTCCTTTCAGGTGAGTCGTAACTAGATGAGTTGGAGTCCAAACTGCTTACAGATTCCTCAGGCTCTGGTTTTGAAACGTCTAAAGGAGAATCAGTAAAGCACTTTCCTATTTCGTCATAACGGCAGTCTTTCTCAGTACGACTGTATCGTCTTCTGGGCAAATCCAGAGGTTTAGTTTTCAAGTTTATGCTGCCAATTTTCTCCTAGCAAGTCGCCAGCTCGATGTTTTGGCAAGTTCTGTCCACTTTCCTTTCAAATAACTCGTCGGTGGTCGTATCCGCATCTTTCTCCTGAGACTTTCTTGGGGCGAAGTCCAAACAAAAACCATCTTTAAGACATTTTTTCTCTTCTTCAGCCTCTGAAACTGACTGCACATAGTTTGCTTCAAACGTAAAAAGATCAGCTGTGTTGTGTTCGGCAATATTAGTGACAATGGCCACAGAATGCCTTCTCCTACTCGCCTTTTGAATCGCTGGTAAGGCACTAAGTGAAGTATTCTCATCTCGAGCGACTTTGTCTATAAGTTTTGACGAGACGCAAACTCGAACCACTTGCCCCGGGTTGAACTCTTCCACTGCGATGGATTTTCGTCTCAAAGCGGTTATTGCTCGTTCCACGCCAGATGTTGTTATCTTGTTTTTTTCACCTTCTTCGGTCTCGCAAACATTAACATCTACAAACTTGGACTTGTCCTCGCTTTTGTAAAACGATCGTGAATATTTCTCTCGTCGTATCTCATACAGTTTCTGGCGAATGATTCGCTCTTCTTTCTCTATAAGTTTCAATTTTGTCCCCAACATTTTGTCTTCGACGTTGTTCTTTCGCCTGGCAAAATCTGACGATTTTTCGAGCTTTAGAAAACGAAATGTCTTCCGGTTATAACTCATAATATTAACTCCGCGCGAGGATTCTGAACTGGACACGATAAACAAAGTAATTAAAATCTTGACAAAGTGGCTTGTCCAGCTTATATCCATAACTTTGTTAATCTTTTAATCGATAAAATTGGCCTCAATGGATATTGCGCTTGTCTCAAGGGTCTTAACAAATAAAGCTTTGTTTGTTTAAGGGTGCAATAATAGAAATCATGATCACCTTTTCCTTTTATCTTCAAAAAGTCATCAGACATTTTTAGCACTTTCTACAAGGACGCTTTGTGTATTTGTGTCCTAATGCAAGCCGAGAAACAATTGATTTGCCACATAGAGTATATTTTTGTTTTCGCTTTTCAAAAAATCAAGTCACGATGACTTTTCGTGATATATTATATCCACGGGTCTTTTAAGGACATTTGTTTGAGCTCTAATGATCTACGCAGTTGTTTTTTGTCATTTGAAATGTAGTTCTAATGTTTCATAAAATAGAAAAACATCTGAATAAATGAGTTAGCGGCATCTTTTTAGTCTTTAAATATGAACAATAAAACTACTGCTTGAATTAAGATAACAAATACGGAAACACCCACCGTGGACGATTGCCAATGGTAAAAATTCTTTCACAAACAATGTCCTTTACTCTTTAATTAAGCTAGTTGCCTACTCTTTCTGTAAATCTTCGCACCATGGCTAGAACTTTGATCCCATCTTTACGTGTTCTTTTCGAACTTTTATCTTCTTACTGCTTTGTTACGGATCGCATAAAGATCCTGTTGCAATGAACTTGCACGAGGGCTGGTCGCGGGCAAACATCAAAAGTGAGCCAGTAACCTCTGTCGACAGAGTTTGAGACAGATTTGAACTAAGTTTTACACATTTTCAGATGACACATTATTTCAAAATAAAAGAGGTTGAATTGATTTTTTTAAATGTACATCAAGTTGATAATTAAAGTTTTTATAATTGAATGACCTTAATTGTCTAGTCGAGTCCATTAATGGTTTTTATCGAGTGCTCTTTGGCTTTGTGAGTTGAATGGAGACTCGCGGTGACTATTCAGCCCCAGGCCATGCTATGTTTAATACACGCTGTGCATTAGATTAAAGCTTACTTTACCAGGAAAAGTTTCAAAATGAACCAAAGATTGCTTTGGGTCAGCTAACCGATGTGCGCACAAATATAAAGTAAAATACGCGGATGCGCGAGTCGATGCAAGAAAAGTTGTCATAACTGTCTGCAATGGGATCTCTTAAAATGTTAAAATAACTTGTTGTTTCTTCGTTCGATGACGAGTTTCCACGAGAATCAAAACTGCGATAAGGAGACCGGATGTGAAATCAGGCTGGACTGGACCCAAAGAGCTTTGTTTGTGTGTCGGTGGAAGAGTAAGCGCCAGAGATGCGCATGCTCGGACCTAATTTGCGTTCGCCGCTATCGTCGGTTTACGCATGTTCGTGTTTGGCTTGCGAGGACCATTGCTATTGTGTTGACCAAGGAAGAGATCTAATGGAAAAAGGGAATAAAATTAAGCGTTCTTATACATGTAAGACTGAAATCTCGCGATTTTCAAGCTTACTTCTCTGTTTGTTTGTATCTTTTCCTCCCTCATTTTGTTTTGAAAATTACAAAATCAAAAGACGTAATTGTCGATGATTTACCTCAAATAAATGTCTTAAAATGACACAAGACGAAATTTCAGTTTGCAACTGAAGTAGTGAAGCTTAAGGGCTGAACGAACTACATGAACAGAGATTTTTGTATCAAGCATTTTATTTTACGATACTGAACTGTTACTACACTCACTGCTGGGTTGAAGACAGAGCGGGAGAAAGGGCCTCCAGTCTGATTAATTTTGAATGCATGAATAGCTTATTATTGACATCAAAATGATTCTTCCTACTGAAATCACGAAATTCAGGGCGCAAGGCATAAGCCAATATCCTGGATTATCTAAATAGGAAAACTTAAATAACTAGATATAGTGGGGGAGAGTATTAACTTTATTACCTAAAACCGTACTTTGTATAATTACCCCCTCAAAGATTATTATGATGCAAGATTCTTTGAGACAAACACTTCATTACGAACATCATTTTGGTTGTTCTCATATGCTTGCCTATCTCGTCCCTCAGTTCTAAGCTCCTCTTTTCAATTAGTGAGTGAAATTTTGGAAAATAAAGAAGTTTATGGCAAGCTTTTGAGACAGATGATATTTTCCATACGATAACCGCCATGCAATGGGAGTTTTACGATGGTTGCATGTGCAGCAGAAAAAAACTTCTAAACCAAGACTGAGCCTCTTAATATGATTTGAGAAAAAGTAGCTTATCCGGTGTTAAAATTTAGAAAAAATATGCGCCCGGATTTTTCTTCATCCCGTTGTTCTTAGCCCACGAGAATTTGACCCTAATGGATTATAAACCTCACAGGCTAACCAAGTGAAACTAAACACAAGATTTAAAAGAAGGGGGAAAATTTAAGATTCAAACTTGTCAGACGAACTGAACAAACAACTAGATCAATTATTAAACAATTAATCAATGAGCCATAATTGCATTTATTCATATAATAACCCACTTCACTACAATAAACACCGACCGCCTCAATCACCCGGGAGGTCAAAATTAGAGCTCTATGGTCAGGAGACTCTTAAACAACAAGGTCTTATTATGACTCGTGCACGACAACCTGACTGACGTCATCGAACTGCACCAACATCACGTGGGGAGCACGGACGGAGTAGTAGGTAAAGATCGATAGAGAGAAATTGGGCGTGATGGCTGCTGAGCGGGAATACTCCACCTGTGTAAGCTGTATAAGTATGTCCAAGAAGAAGCTTGGGAGGTCTCACTAAAAAAAGTTTGATTTGAGAGCCGTTTTGCTCTATTTGCCGGGTCTATAAAGGGATGCAAATTTTGACTATATGTGGTCGTTTGGCGCTTAATCGGGTGTAGTTTTTAATACAATGCATAAAATAATGTCTTTTCAAATCCAAATGAATGATAGCGAAAGAGAAGCGGGTTTATACAATTCACGCTGAGTTCAAAAAAGGGGAAGAAACCCATCTCGTTGTATTCAGAAAAAAATCAGATATTTTCTCTAATAAAACTATTTGTATATCGTAAAATAGCGTCGGAAAGTTATTGTAAGACCCCTAAAGGAAAATTCTGTCCTTCCCCCTTGATGAGGCAATATAATGACTAGTAAAATGCTGAGCGAAGCTAGTTGTTAACGAATGAACGAAGGGTCTAGCGTCAGCGGAACTCGAAAAGAGAACGAAAGATTGACAAAACTTTGAAAATGCCGGCCCATCAACGTTCCACGAAGAAATCAATTTTTAATCCTTTACCAAGAATCACGATAGCGGTAAATCCCATCAGCTATTGACACCATCCTCCTTGAGGAGTGCCATCTATTGACTTACTCACACACATGCCACAAACATCACTAACTTCAAGGGCTCCTTCCAAAACAGTGTAAAACTAAAATATTTGCGTTCAATATCGCAGCGTCATATGGCGGACAAGCTTTCGCTTGTACTCAGTTCCAAATGAGATCGGATTTATTTTGCAAAAAATTGATTAACCTATTAGTATGAGCTCGTGAGAGGCTTGATGTATCTATTCTTAAATCTTCTTTCGGCCCCCTCTGCGCAGTCAACAAGAAAGCAGTCAATAATAGACCATAAAATGCCGAAAGGTCTAACAACGTCAGGAAAATCTATTAGAAGTATTTATAGACTAATTAGAGCAAAAACTGCTATCTTTGTGCTGAAATGATCCGTCACTTGAACGTTTTTCAAGCTCGATGATAACACAATGGACAAGACAGCATGAAGTAAACCCGGGAAGGTATTACGGCAGTGCAGATGAAATTCAGCTTGAGGCTCTTGGAAGCCGGAAGCTAAGATTACAATTACAGTTACTTTTTTAAATATGATTTACCTTACAGATTGTCAGTGATTTTAAGATGATTGAAATCTGAATTCCCTGGAATTCATGACACAGCAATTTCATAAGGGGAAGATTTGTAATCAAATCAAAAGATTCGAAAGCAAGTGCGACTTAACGAGGCCCAAGGATTCATCAAACGAATGATGCTATTGTGCCGAAAAATTTTAATTGCGATCTCAGTCCACAGAACCGTAATGTTTACCACGAGTACCAGCAAAACGATTTTTTCGGCTAAAGCTTGCCAGGCAGACACAGTCTTCATGGCACTGAGGAATGCAAATTGGTGTAACACTGAAATTATGGTTATCTAACGTGGAAAGCGCCGCTTTCACGATGACGTAGGAAGATATTCCGACTTTTGCCATTAATCGAGTGTTGTTCGCCGCAGACTAATCCACGTCTCAAAGGAAACGATTACTCTCGGAAAACGAACATTTGAGAATAAAAGACCTATTCAAATACTACTGACCGTTGTTTACGACATTTTCTACGTTGTTAATGATATAAAAAGGTGACAAGTAATAATTCTTATAGCTAAAGTAAACTTTATTTTACGCGATTTTTCCGATGTTACAGTTACTGATCAAGCCAAGAGAACGATTTTGTCACCAATTTTGGGTTCGGCATGCTATAACTCTCTATTATCCAACGGGAACTAATCTTGTACCGGTATGTCGATCACAAGTTACATGCCACTTAAGCACTGATTGGCATTAATTTCAAACTGTATCATTTTCAAGCCATCTTTTAACCCTAATCCAACCACTTGGGAAAGTCAGATTATTTCCAAATGTTGAGTTCGTATTAGCCTTTATTTCAGTAAACATTCCATCTGCTGTCTCCGCAGCGAAGGATTTTTCCGAAGAGCGAGTCGAAAAACGGTACGTTAGAACCAATTCACAAAGAAGGGTATTGCGTTCGTGCGACTTACAGAGATACAAACAAACCGGGATACAAACAATTTTGCGAATCCGTTAGATCAAGGTTCCATTTATCTGCGGGAAAAGGGTATTTGCTTTCTTCGCATTGTTCAAACAAATGACAAGAAACATCTGCTTGTTTCACCATATTCACCAGCATTAACCAACCGCACTAGTTTATTCATGGGACACGCAATGTTTTCTAAGCCACTTGTGCTCTGCAATAATATTTTGAAAGCGGACTAAGAGGAGAGAGCGTGTTGAAAAGGGGTTTTTGCAAGAGTAAATCGACCCCGTCAACAATTTGGCACTTTATTTTACACGCGTCAGACCATTACATTATCTATTATCACTCCAAAGGACAGCGTATAACCCCAAAATTAATAACCTCAGTCGTTACTTTCGCCGACAACAAAAATACCGCCCGAGGCACTCTCGACAGACCAGGACTAATTGAGCACAAAATATGAAACATATCAGCATGGAAAAAGGGCTCGTTTTCTTGCACAAAATAATCAAAGTTGGCTCTGAACGTGAAAAGTGGCTTTAACAAGTGAGATGTTTGATCAAAGATCTTCTAAGAAGGATCTATACCTTTGTGCCAAAGATCACATGGAAAAACGTTTAGGAAAACTGTACCCTTCATATAGCGCAACCTAGCGGGTAATCAGGGAAAAAATTATTCGAATAGCAAAGAAATGATTTCACTTCTGCTTGCTGCAATAACCGTCTAGAATAATAAAATCTAATACTTACAGGAAAATACTTTGCAAGGGAATAACATTTTTGGGGTTTCCAGTGGTTATTTTAGCGGGATAACAGCTTGTTCACAAGTGTTGTTTTCAAATTATCGCTTGGCCGGCTGCCGTCTGACATCGCGGGACAGAATTTCGTCAATTTTCGTGGAAAGTTCTGGTTAGTCGATATTTTTTAGCTAATTACACTAAACACCGGAAACTTCACGCTGAAGGACTTGCTCGGTGATTGGATAATAGCCGTGCGATAACAGGCTCATATTCCCACGCTCCCGTGGTGGATAAGTCGGCGCGTTTGATGGCGGCTATGTGGCTCGTCACAGGAGCATACTCTGGCATTTCCGAGGAGAGTGATGACTGTGGTATATAATAAATCTAATTATCACTGTTAATTGATATAATCGACAGATAGCCTCTATCATAAATTAGACATCTTGTAAAGTCGTTTTCACTCCGGACTCAACTAACTAACTGTGCGGCTTTAGAATACAAATCACAGTTTTAAACTGTCATGCACCAAACAGGATCACACGCTAATGGAAATCTATCCTCAAGAGCGAACGCCTTCTCTGTCGAATCGTTGATATCCTCTGAACACCCGAACCAACAGACATCGATAACTAGAATGGCTGCTTCCAAAGGACGCAGATCACCCGAGAGCGAAGAGCACGGTGAGTTTTCTCCACCGCAATCGGGTGGTCGAACTCAAACAGATTTCCATTTGCCCCTTCAGCACTTTATTTCTAACCTTCCCTTCCTCAGATCCGGCGACTGAAGCGTTAGGATCCATGCAGGCCATGCAGAGCCGCGTGGGTTCTACAGAAACACTGGAATGCGAAGATATCACCATTGAACTTCAGATGCGAGATTTATGGCAACGTTTCTTTGAGTTTGGAACCGAAATGATAATTACCAAAGCAGGCAGGTAGGATAAAAACCGCTCTTTAAACCTCTTCTATCTCTATGAAGTGAACTCAGTAAAAAGACATTGACACCAGGTTCTTGTACATTAAAATATCACGCAACATTTACACTGAAGTACCTAAGTCAAACGATGCGTCTACACTCCACGAAATGATTTAAACGATGAGGAAATTTATCGTGTCTTGCAGTCGGGAGTTTTTCTGCGTAGCCGTTTGGAAGTTTCGATTTCTTTAGCAACGCCGGGTCGCGATGAAGAAAGATTTACAGTGCCTCTTACGGCGGTTCAGAGTCTTCTAAAATTTACTTTTTGTCTTTATTCATCTGAATAAACAACCATGCATCGGCTTTTAGTATTACGGAAACAACCGAGACAAGGAAGACCACTCAAATCCGGGTGTAAAATTCCATGCCCCTGGGCATTTCGATGTGGGCGTTTCATGCTTTGAATTGTCGTACGGAATAATGATAAAAAATAAAAAAAAAATAAAAAAAAAACTAGTGAAAGACTGAGAATTTGCCTGGAACTCCACGGTTAGAAACTATAGATATCGGACACGAAAATCAGAGGACAATTCTCAGAGTTATAAACAACTGATAAGTGAGCTAAGCTCTTCCGTTTTTTACACTTCTGGTTTCTGTCTCTTTGCGCTGTAAGCTTTTGAAATTACAGGGTACAAAATAGCCATGTACACTCAGTTCCATCCACTACAGCTTTGGCTTGTATCTTTTCGAGATCCATCTACGTTGTTTTTCGGATAGCCATAGCAGAGGCAAGATTAAAATGAAACACATGTAGCGAGCGTGTATTATTTTTTATTATTATTCCCCTGCTGACGAGTCGATTGAAAGCCTTCAACAAAAGTCGCGTTTTTAAAATTCTGTGGAAACTACCAAAAGTCCCCTTCACAAAACGAACGTATAACTTAGTTCTCGATTGAGCGAAATATCACTCGAAAGGTAACAAATGTTTCTAAGAGAAGGGGATGAATAATCGCGAAATGTGAAACCAAACAGCTAATTAATCGAAATTTTTGTTTTTCTTTCCCTGATGTTTTCTGACTTAAGCCGTTTTCCGCAGTTTCGTGTTATTCTCTCAGTATTTGTTCATTCCAAAAATGAAAAATTGTGATGTGCTTTGATCGAGTCTGTTTAATTTCAAGTAGGTATCGTATTTTAAGCATCCCGTCAAAATTGTTTCCTAAATTGTCAGATTGAAACTGACGCTCTAATGTCTGTTGCCGTCTTTTTTTAGCTTTTATCAGTGGCAGTATTTAACCTGATGAAAACATCTCTCCGACGATTGGAGTACTTTACACTAAAAAAAAAGCTGTTTCATCTCAAATTTAGAAATGATACCCTCATTGAAACAGATCTGATGTAGAAAAATTCTCATAAGTGGTATAAACTCTTACGATTTTTGAAATGCCACTTATCTAAATTCCTTAGCGTTCCGCCGATCAATTTTTTTTTTTTTTTGCACTCGTCTTGCATCAAATGCGACTTGACTTTCAAGGCACTTGGCACGGATTATCCGAATTAATTAAAAGGCGGCCACGGCGAAGGTTATCCAGAATGATTACGTACTAAACAGCCTACAAAACAGGAAAAAGCGGTTCTAATTAAATTCGGTTGAAGGGTCGCTTTGCTGTCCAAGGAAGAAACGTCATGTCAAATAAGAATACCCAGATGCTTGGAGCGGGAAGACCCAAACATTTGGGTTCGGGAAATGTTTGCAACACAACGAACCGGTTTTCCGCATGAAGTTTTTGATATTTTGCTAATTTCTACGCCGATTTTAATTTTTTTTTCTTCAGTCATGAAATAAATCGTATCTTACCTATACACATTCCATTTCAATGATAAATGAATGAATAGGTAAATGATTGAATGGCGAACGAATAAATGACTGAATGGGTGAAGAAATAAAGATGGGGTAAATTAATGAATGACTTATAGTCCAAAATAGATGTGATATTCATCCAAAAAAGGCAATAATATGAAAAATAATCAAAATTATTCTTAATATCTAACTCAAATGAATGTTAATTGTTATGGTAATTTTCTGTGCAAGGCGCATGTTTCCCGCCATCCGAGTCAAAGTTTCCGGTCTGGATCCTAAAAGCTACTACATGCTCATGATGGACGTAGTTCCACTGGACAACAAACGCTATAGGTGAGACGACGATGCACACAACGACAATAGTTACAGTCAAATTTGAAAATCTCTGCGCAAGACTCAAATAAAAGATTATGGGGTAGGAGACGTTGATTTCCCATACACGAGATTACTGTGTGATGGATGTCCTCCCCTGGGGTGGAATGGGTGGGTAACAGGACCCCCGTTGATACCAGTGTTTACTACACTGAAGGGGCTATCCTGTATAAATATAGATGTCTACTCTAAAAGAACATGACCTAAATAGTTACTCACAGTATCACTAACTGAACTGTGCTACAATTCTTCAGAGATCTCCCTCACGAAAGAGCTTTTGCGTCGGTTCATTTTCTCCGACGTAGACAATCAAGTTCCTCAAAAAGAAACTGTGAGATAATAGCTCATACGATTACTCAAATAACACTGAGAGTGGAAAATCCCATTAAAAGATGATGCAGGATTATTTGCATCTACGAAGTGAAAATTCCGATCTTAGAAAGTTGAAGCTAGCATTTTTTAGGCGCATTAACCTCGATCGAGCATTTTCAAGTTGTTTAGGGACAAGTTGAAATATGCGCCATCCATCGCTGATATACGCTGTGAACAAGCTTACAACAACCCATATTACAACAGGAAATAACACAAAAACTATTTTCTCAGCTATATATATTTAAGTTCACACAGCAACCAGGTGGACAACAGACCTGGTTTGATGCTACTCTGGTTTAAAGATTTCATGAATGTAACCGAAATTACAATTCATCGGCCAAACGTTTCGACACCCCTCCCTAGTGCCTTCACTGGGGATGATCTGGTCTAGTGCCTTCACTAGGGATGATCTGGTCGTTGCGACAAGAGGCTATTTTTGCGCAATTTCCTTCATTGAGGGGTTCGTTACATGATGATTTAATCTGCAGGTACGCTTACCACAGTTCCAAATGGGTTGTGGCAGGAAACGCGGACGCACCAATGCCAGGCCGGGTATACATTCACCCAGATTCTCCCGCGCTCGGCGAGGAATGGATGAGACAAGTAGTGTCATTTGATAAAGTCAAACTGACTAATAACGAGCTGGATCAACAAGGACATGTAAGTGTATGTATGCAGTTTTATAGAACTGCAGTTATTTTAATCAAAACTTATTTCTCCTGCGTTTTTGATCGGATTTGAAGATACTTTATTTATGAGTTTTGAAATGGAGAACGGCTAAAATGGGAACTCTTCACACCTGCGTTCAACCGTTTGTGTACTTAAATAAAGATAATTACATAAGCTTAGAGCAGGGTTTTTCGGAAATTTCTGCAGGGTCGATTAAAAAATATAGAGAGGAGTGCGTAAATAAGAGACAACTTTTGGCGGATACTGTATACTTCTTTCTCAGGAATCACAAGCAGTATTCTGTTCGTGTATGTCAGTAAAGAGGCTATCAGACGTTTTTCATTTCATCACTAAATTCCCTTGAGTTTTTGTCCTTTTTATTCAGTAATTCACCAGAATTTAGAATTGAAATTATATCGTTATATTTGAGATGACTTTTCTTTAACTTAGCCAATACTTTTCTCTCAATGAGGTTTTCCGTTTTTCATTGAGGACAAAAGAGACCCTTTAAGTCTGAGTTAAAACTTAACATTGCCTTCATTTCCATTTTTAAGATAATCCTTCACTCCATGCACAAATATCAACCAAGAATTCACATAATAAAGAAGAAGGATACTTCAGACACGGTTGCTATGGACGTAGAGAAGCCTTCTTCCTCGAGAAAAACGTTCGCCTTTCCCGATACAGTTTTTACAACGGTTACTGCGTATCAGAATCAACAGGTACCGCATATAAAGCGTTTCAATGTTCTAAACACCTATTAGTTGATGTAAAGCTATTACACTTCACCGAGTATGGGTTTCTTACTATTTACTATTCAATAGTCACTGTCTTTTCAAATTGAAAGGCATTTGGTTTACATCCGGGAACACCACTTTTTCGGCGGGACTTTTCGTACAGCTGATAGATACAAACAGCAAAAATATAGCATTAACAGATTAGAAAAGTCACTTACTTCAGTTTTTGAGGCAACGTAATCAGCGAATAATATTAATAACTATAAATGCGTAGTTAGTTCTTGTTTTTCGGCCGTAACGTTTTCGCGAGAGCATTTTCGCACAGCATAAGATCTGATATCCAACAATGCCTTAAAGCGACGTATTTTGTGGCGATAGTTATGTTTTCCTCTATGTGAGGTTTCTCAGCACCAAAAAGGTGTTAAAAATCCATCACAGTATAAACAGAATAACAACAACAACAACAACAACGTGCTTATCATTTCATCGTTTTGTTCAATTCTCAGATGCAACATTGGACAGAAAAAAAAACTTTGACTGACACCCAATAGTAAACAATATTTATGTTGCTAGCCCTCATCAGCTTTTGTTAAAAACTCGAAGAGACCCACTTCAAATATCCTCGTCTACCATTAATTTGACACTAGACAAAAATTGTCTAAGGAAATTAATTATAGGTGATTTTACAAAAGATTACTTTAAAAAGCCCTGTTTTCTATTCTCCCGACGAACAAACAAAATCATTTATATCAGAGAGGTGATTTGATAGTACAGAGTTGAAACTCCTTATTTGGCCCTATCACAGGTTTCGTCTCTTTAAAACTTCTGTTTTTCTCATTAGAAGGTTGATCCGTGTGTGTGGGCAGATCTCCTAAGAACAAGACTCATTCATCAGTTGCCTCTGAGATCCATCATGTCTCATTCTTAACTTTGATTTCTCTCTGTTATGTCATGGTGTCTCTATGATTTTACAGTTGTTATATATTATTCATTAACCGCTGCACTTGAAGCGACTATTAATTATTTGAAATGTGGTGAAAGCATCAAAACAACACTCCGCAAAAAGCATAAAGGGTGTTTTCCTTTGATCGGGCGCTAACAGTATGTTTTTATAATCCACTTTCGGTAAATAGATCCGGCTGAAGTAATTTAAATTCTCGTCCGGTCGCTTAAGCGTTGATTACTCAATCGATGTGCCGATAACGCACCCGGCTCCTTTGAACTCGGGAAGCATTTTACATTAATTTTGTTAATGGCCTCAATTACGACTTACTTATTCTCTTGCCGCCGTATTTAAGTGACAATAGAAGTACCTTTATGATGTTGTTTGGTGAATAAACGACACGTTATTTGCTTAATTCACGAACCCTAAAACGACAATCATTTATGCTCGATATTTCTATAAAATCGCTCTTTTTAAGTCGACAGTTGAGGCTCATTGGGAGCCTCGAAGGCATCCAGGAGTAGCTGTTTGAATCAAACATACTGATCTCTCCTATTTTTATATGAAGTAATACGTGGTGGTTTCTTTTTTATGTTTCTTTGCGGATTAAAGATAAGAGATATGATAGACGGAAAAAAAAACTCGGAAAGAACCCTTCTTTCAGAAAAACACAAGTGGTATATTGGGAAAGATGAAGTACGAGTACAGTCTTTCAACGCTTTAAAACTTCAATTCCATTTCGTTTCAGCTTTAATACATATCAGTTCTTCTCACCCACGCACTGAAACAAAGACATGAGTTGTGACAACTTTGACTTTTGCAGCTTTTTTCTTTTTCTTTTTCTTATCCGGAGAGCTCAAAACTTGCTAATTTTTGTAAATAGATAAATCATGAGGAGAGATTTGTGACATAACAATACATTTCCTTTTTTCGCTTTGTTTTGTGCATTATCTAACTGGAGATTCTGTTCCAGATAACACGATTGAAGATTGACAGTAATCCTTTAGCAAAAGGATTTAGAGACTCGGGCAGAGTCAGGTTAGTAACAAGACTTATGCAAAACCTTTTATAAATCAAAATATGTCAGTTCGTCCCAAATAGTTTAAGAATGGTCTACCTAAATATTTCGTGTTGACTAGATCAAGTGCGTCCATTCACTAAGGTTTTTTTTTGTTTGTTTTTGTACTTTACAACAGGGATCCATTGGAAGAGATAATGCAAGCTTATTCCTACTACAGACCAACCGCAGGAAGAACTTTACATTGTTCAAACTTCAGGGGAAGAGATGAACAGCTCAGTTCCGGTAAGTCGGCAGTATGTGAATGAATCTCTTGGTCACATCTCAGTGAGGAACACACATATAAACTGACCAATTTCCAGTCTATTCCCTCTCATGAAAGAAAATTCGATTAAAAAAATGCCTCATCAACAGATGTTTTTTTTACCTTCATTTGAGGGACAACTCTCTGCAGGAGACAACAGCCAGGAGTGAGTCCTCTGATTGCCCTTTTGGTTACATTCAGAGCCGCACTGATATAATCTCTTAACGGTTTTCTTTCCTTTTTTCCTTTTTTCTTTTTGGGCAGATCAAGGTTCTTGTTCCCAGCATGCATCAGTATCTGTACCATCTCCTTATCAGAGTGTTCCTCTGAGCCCTACCATGCCTCCCCAGACACCAACATGTCATTCAAATACTTCTTTCTCTGCCTTCAATGCGTGCTTATCCACCCTACCGCACGGTGCCATGGTACCCACTCAATATCATGTCACACCCTACTGTTCCGCTACAGAAACGTACGGTCACATGTTCCACACAACTGTGACACCGTTTTCCACATGCGCACCCAACGCTGTGGTCAGCCAATCTGATACTGGCATGGAGCTGAGCCCAATTGTTGGTCATCAGGCGAATGGGTTTCAAGGGAACACGTACACTTCCCCACACGCGTTCACGACACATACAATGTAAATTAGTCGAGTCGTTATTTTCAATGTATACTTTTGATTTAAAAGGGCATTTGAGATATTATCAGCTAGCTCGACTGATATACAACAGACATCGATATTCTGAAACATTTTCATGAGGCAGTGGTGAATAGTTTAAAAGACTGAAACAGATGTAAATATTGTAAGTTAGATCATTGTATAAAGAATTGTTATAGTTTTTCAGGTTACTGGCAGAAATCTTAGGTGAATTTTAAAAAATTCAAAAAATTATTTGTAAATATGAATGTAATTGGAAGAAGATGAGAATAAACCATATTTTTGACATCTGTAGTATAGAGTATCACTCATTATTATCCAACTACACTTAGACGAGTACAAATAACGCCATAGACGAGTACAAATATCACGCGGTATTTGTACTCGTCTATTGTAGTACCGGTTAAACAGGTTTTCTCGCATCGCGCAAGCGAAGAATTGGATTGTAGTTACGAAAAAAAAAAGTGGCGGACAATTTGAATCATATTTCTGACGACGAAGAGTCAGAATGGCTGGCAAATATAGATCCAAGTTCATTAGATGAATCGAACGAAGAAAAACAGCTGACGACCAGAAAATTTCTTCATTTAATGTAGAATATAGAAACAGCAGCACAACAACGCGCCAATTCCGTTCCGCTTCGCATACTTCTGTCACGCACTCCCCGTAAATAAACATCCGCGAAATTCGCCCGCACTGAAATAACAGTTTGGCGTGTTGGATAATAAATAACATATTAGACGTTTTGTTGTGTAGTATCGCTGAGTATTTTTACTCGTTATTTTTATTTTGACTCGCCCTACGGGCTCGTCAAAATACGGCACAACTCGTAAAAAAACTCAGCAATACTACACAACAAAACATCTAATAAGATATATGAATTGTTTTTAGTGCTCGGTGGAACCCAACAAAATTTGCCCTCTGGCTGGTTCAGTCAGAGAGCTTATTAGCTTAGGAAATAATATCTATCTATTTATCTCGTGAAATCGGCCAACCGTCATCTTACTTTAGACAAATTCTAACGAGTATCTCCTCATTTTGATGTCGTTCATCTTTTAGAATTCAGGTGGCTTAAGATGTCATATTTCCGTGACAGTTTTTGTTCTTTCTGTGGCGAGATGCATTCCTTGTTGTTTCTCACGCCACGATGGTCCATGACACTGCGTACAATCGCCAGCCCGATTTTTCGCGCGGCAACAACGACCTTTGAACTGACAGATCATCTTAATAATCTCACGTCTGCACTCGCTGTTTAACGCAATATGACAAATGGGGTTAATAAGGGAATACGACATCATCAGGCAATAAATGACCATCCCTTTACCAGATAAGGGACTAACGATGTCACCAGACCCCAGAATCCAGGCCAAACTGTACTGATAAAAAGGATACAGAAAACATAAAAATAAAAGAACTTCAATGACTAAGATGCGAGCCGCTCTCTTGTTCCGCCGATGGCGATTTTGCGAGCTTTGAGAAACATCAGATGGATTTATTACGGAGTCTCTACGTAGCTTTAGAATAATCTTTATGTACGCTACGGTGAAAACTCCTCCAGGAAGCCACTGTGTTCCTATGATAAGCAACAGAAGCGTTTGCTTAATCCAGAAGTCTTTTGCCCCAATATTGCAAGTACGTCGATTACCTGTTGTCATGCCAAGCGAGATTGATAAGGCAAACCAGATGCTAGTAAGTAACCCGAGAAACCACGAAAGGACCACAACGTACTTGGCAATATTCATATTCATCTGAACGAGAAAATGAAACAGAGGATTGACTCAAAATGGAAAATTACTGCCAACGTTTTAACATGCCCCCCCCCCGCCCCTCTCCTCTGTGATGAATCCTTTTTTCTATGATTAACCCCTTTCTACTTAGTCTCCCTCGCAGCCGTTTTTTTGGATGTCACGCAACGCTCCTTCAAAAGAACGGCTGCTGACAACCGAACTACATTCCTTTCTCCGAATTGGCCAATCACAGCTCGGGTTCCATTTTCAGGAACCTTTTCGCGCCAGACTCACTTTTGAGATTCGTCCAATCAGATATCGTTTTCTATCGCGATCCTCATGCGGGAAACACAAGACAAATGGCGGTGCTTGAAGGAGCTTTTCGCAAAGCGTCGTCAAAGTTCAAAATTTTCGAGCTTAAAGCTCACCAGAAGCTTGCAATTAAAAAAGTTTTAGTCAAGAAAGAAGATGTTTTTGTTAAGTTGCCTACAGGATCCGGGAAATCGTTAATATATCAAGCACTCCCGCTCGTGTTTTTCCATGTTACCGATGAAAGTGGTCATATTATTGTTATTGTTGTTGCGTTGTACTAACGTGCGGAAACACTCGATAATTCGGGCCGATTTCCTGTACCGGTGATAAGAAGCCACGAACATAACTAATCGGGTTCGCTCCAGCTAGCAGCGGACTGGCAAATGAAGAAGTACAAGTAGTGTAGGAGACGTTGGCCGACCTAAATTGCAGTGTTCTCGAAGCTTCGCCCAGTTTGTTGACGGCAAGCACGCGCTTTTTTCCTCCTGATCTCCATCTGTAGGTCGAAGCAAGCGTTTAGCCCTTGGCCTAGATTGAAAAGCGTCTTGTATTTCCTTTTGATTATTGATGTAATTTACTGTTTCTTATATATTCTGACTTTTATAATCTGTAGTAACCTCTTGAAATAGTGCGAATAAAGAGTTTCAGTTCAGCTTTTAGCTTCTTCTACTTTCTCAGTTGCTCGCTGAAACTTTAACAACCGCTAAAACAATCTAGCGTTCGTGTCGTTGGCGTAGCAGTTGACGTCTATGTTAAGCGTAGATTCTATAATTTCAACGAAATTGTGAGAAGTTTTCCCAAAAATATATACTCTATCTTTACCAGGGCACAACGATGAACATGTGAAACAATTCGAGCTCTCATCAACAATATTCTTCAGTGTTTCTCCCAACATCCACATTTTCGCGTGAAACCTTACGTCATTCAGATTTTCTGGTATGTGATTGGTCTCTTCAATAGACGGCGACCAAACCGCAAGGACAATGAGAAAGGAATGTAGTTCGGTTGTCAGCAGCCGTTCTTTTGGGGGAGCGTTGCGTGACATCCAAAAAAACGGCTGCGAGGGAGACTACTTTCTACTAAGCCACCTCCGTCCTACACAAAAAGTTAAAAGCGGTATTTGTTGTGTTGTTCTTCATCAGTGATCGTCTCAGTAAGGTCGCAGTAAAAAAAATTGCTTGTATTAGAGAATCCGTTTTATTGATTACCACATCTAGGCGACAATTCAGAATAACAATAATTAATCGCATTTTGGCCCCGAGTAAATTCTCAATTTCCCCCACGCCCCTCTCAAACAAATTTCCCCTCTGAGGGGGTGGGGGGGTTATAGAACGTTCACGATATTAGGCGTTTGCCATCTAGTTTCAAGGAAGGAAAGAGATCACAGAGGTATGATACTCGCTTAAATAAAGGCTACTTCTGCCAAGTTTTCATTTTGTTTACCATTCCCGCAAGGAAACTTTCAGCCCCTCATGAATGTTAAATTTGATGATAACTGCTTTTAATAAATTTTTTTTGAGTTTCTCATTATATCAAAAAGCGACTGTCATTATATTGAGAACTTTGACAAACAATTGTAATAATTAATTTTATTTCATTAGATTCGTTGTTTACCTGTTTTTTCAGCGGCTGCACTACAGCCTGATATCGTTCTAGGCTCATAAACATCAAGGTTATTATGGATACCGTCAAACTGCTCTGGACAATCATGAACATCCCTTTACAACCAGCCTTTCCCAATAACTTGGGCCATTCGTTTTGCGCGGAATAAGCCAGATAAACAGGTACAAACACGATGATGCGCAACACGTCACTCAAAGCTAAGTTCAGGTTGAACAGATTGGCAACGTTCGCGATTCTCCCCTTTCGTAAAATCACTGCAAATAACAGGAGATTTCCAACGGCCCCGAAAACAAACACGATGGATAGCCACGTTACTCGTATGATATGGTCGGCGGTTGAAGATGCCATTTCGCCGAAACCTGTGGAACTGCTGTTGTTGGTCATTTTATTTACCGGCAATATAATTTTGAAATTTTTAGAAGCCTTGACTTGATGAATATTGATATTCCTCTGAATAATACTCTGAATGGAGAACTGTTTGTTTTCACTGTTGCTTTTACAAAGCTCTCACTTTCGCTTCAGTAAATCCTTTTTGTTTTCCTTATACACTCCTAACTGACTCAATGTGGAGATTTCAGTTCAAGTTTCCTAAAGGAAAAGATGACTTTGTAACCAAAATGGTTGATAGCACTCATTCACAATTCAAAGTCTTACACTGGTGAAGTTAATAAATGTCTTTCAATGAACAGTATATTTCACTTCTTGACTTTCTTCTTTTTTCCCTGGAAATTACGTCGTCGGCGTTAGCAAGCCTTTCAGTATTGTTCAGTAACTCACCTTGACGCAAACCTCAGATAACAAACCGTCACCGAAATCTTCAGCCACGTTCTCTACTTCTTTCACGTTCACAGTCTTTCTATCTTGATGTATTTTTAACTCTGACAAAGAAATGTTGTGTTCTAACAACGCCCCCGACAAAGAGTACAGCGACAAATCATGACTGTTTGTAATCACTGTTCCAGAGGCTTGTGATATTCTGTTTGACTGCAAATGCATCACTGTTTAATTTCATTCGTTTTATAATGAGATCTATATCAAACAGATAGGTGGTCGGGATTCTTCATATGGCAGAAATGTCAATATTATTTTCACAGTTGAATTTACTTTAAGAATATTATGCTCGTCATTGGTTTCTGTTGCTCTGAGATATGCTGGAAAATAAAACAATGGGGAACAAATAAAACGTGATGTGAATTTAAAGTCAGTCACATCATTAAAAAAAAGTGACAGCAACATTATAGCCGAAATTAACTAAAAACCTCCCCTCGTAACTTTATTTTCAGACTCGTGCAGTTACGTGATTTAGTTAATTTTTCAAGAAGTTGTTACTGGTCTGAATATCGAAGGTTTTATTTCATGAATAGCAATATACATTTACTCATAATTACATTTTTGGCAACTTTATGATCTACCTGCGAAGGAAATAATTAATTAAAAGTAATTGTTGGTGTCCATGTTTGTAATCATTGCCAAAACGCGACACCCTTTATCCCAGGTTGTAATCACATTTCCTAATTCATTATTCTTATGAGTATGATGTAGTTTTTTTCTAAATTAAAACTGAAGAAAGAAAAGAGGTGTAGAAACTAATTACAAAACGAAAAAGAAAGAGCGTAATATGGAGCCTTGTTATGAATAAAGATTGCTCTTTGAGACAGGTGTTTTATTTTAATGGAAATATCTTTTGTTTTCCCACAGCTTTCTCTCGATCTGAAAATTTCAATATTTAATTAACGTAAGCCTGATAAACATCTCTAACTATCTATGAGTTAGCCTGTAACGAGGACCGCGCCGTAAAGTACATCTATTGTGTGTGACCGCAGCACCGGTTATAGATTCAATTTAAAATTTCATGTGGGCAAGATAAAAAAATAAATTGCTTTAAGTTATATTGGACATCTCTAGAGTCTATATACGTGATTACAGTATGAATATCAAATCCATGATTTTATCAGTTCAACGACAAGTCTCCTCTACTTACTATGATGTAAACAAACTAACTATGATCAAATCAAATGAGAACATACATCATATGTTTGCATTTGATTTTCAAGGCAGGGTACCATTTTTTAATCACGATTGTAAAATCAGTGTAGAAAAATACTACAGATTATCACACACATCTGAAAACGCGATCTAAGGAATTAAACTACCGTTAAGATAATGGTCACACCCTAGATCGAGAGCTATTTTAAAGTATATCATAAGATATAGGCCGGTTTGAAACGTGTTTAATGTTCTCCCTTTCAAGTTTGCTTCAGCTATCATGTTCCCGTCTTAGTTTTGTGATTTTCCAGTTCCAACATTCCGACCACAAAGCAAATTTTTTTATGTGAAGATGATGTGACGCTTTCAAAGTCCTTGAATAGCCAGAGTTAGACTGGAGGATTTGAACTGTTCTGCTGTATGATGCGAGTCATTCCAAATGCTCTTGTCCTTTCAATCTTCTTGTAAGTCGTCTTCTTTTGTAGCAGTCCAGCAGGTTTACTGTTTGCTCGCGTTTGTTGGGCTGGGATCAGGGGGTGAGGTCAAATGATATAATATGAGTGAGCGTTCTTCTTCTCCTTGGGCTATAGCGTCCAGGTTCTTCTACTTGTTAGTCGGCTTATGACTGCCAAACCCAAAGAAACGTGACCTACTGCTTTAAATTTACCAGAGAGTTTAGTGCTTTGCATCAAATCTGCGTTGGTCTTTGACGACTGAGAGTTATAACGATATGCCACGCTTGGGCTTTGGTGATAATGGAGCTGTAGGAATATACTGTGTTGGACTTGGGAACGATCCTAGGTCACCGTGGCTAAAGTTATTAGAAAAAAAGAAGATTCACAAGGCTCTCCTGACTAAAATCGCTAAGAGATCTCCCTCTCGGTTTAGACCTTGTATCATCAACATCGACAGTTGCACCATTGTCTCCGAGGGACGTTTCCTTGTCATTTTCTTCAGCGTGAATTGTTATTTCCTGATGAATTTCCTTTTGGAGGGGGTCGTTCTGATTCAACGCTTGTGGGGAACAGAACTTTAAGTTTTCATCTGTTTTTCTACCACTATCAGTCATTAGGGCTGCTGAAGGTTCTTCGAAGGAGCACTTTCTCCGGCACCGAAAACATGTTTTGCGGCTTTCCTTCACCGAGATGTCGTGACCATTTTGATAGCAAACGCAAACGCCATTTGACATGCCATGTTGCCCACTGTGAAATGATTTCTAGTGATTTCTCTCTCCTTAAGGGATTTGGACTTTTGGACACAATTGGGCGAAGTTTAGAGGCTAATTGTGACGAGCAACCAGAATTGCGCCGTGGAAAGTCTAAGGGAATTCCACGTTCTGATCTACTACGCCTGCGGGATCCTGGAGACAAAAATAACTTAAAACCGGCATCGAGAGTCTCTCTTGTTCTCCTTAAGTCGAGAAGTTCTCGCTGAAGTTGTTTTTCCTCCTTTCCATACCTTGATAGCTCCTGACAGGGCGTGCGATCTGCTGCATGCTTTAAATTCTGTGCACGATTGTCGCTCTCAGTCATTGTTAAGGAACCACTTCTCTTCTTTCGGTATGACTCACTCATGTTTTCACCTGCAGATTTGACAGTGCGTCTTAATTTAACAATAACTTAAGCCTGATAGATAAGAATTGAAGAGAAATTTGAATGAAAACGATGATATTCTTCCCAAAGCAAAGAAAAACGAAGCAGATCAAAGGACAAAGCTTTCGTTAGCCGATGGAAGTGGGTTTGAGTTTGATTTACTTTATCAACTTTGAACACATAGTATACCTTCCGTCTACTTTTCAGCTTTGCTAAATCTGTTTCCTTGCCTTCTCTGATGGTGACAAGTTATTTTATATTTGCATGTTATGTAATATTTCAGTAAGCCCACACGGGTTTATGAATATTTCTTCTGTACTGATCCTTACAGTAAGACTGTGCACACTTCACTCCAAACGTTTTGATAAACACCATTCACTTGAAGACGGGGACCGCTGTCTACTTCCCAGTTTAATTTTCATGATCAGAGGTAGGCTGATGAAAGTGCAAACACAGGGTGTTATGTCGGAAAAATCAATTCATTACAAAGTCTGTTGGTAGATTCAAACGAATTGATGACTAATCACAAAAGGAATTAATCTGAACAGAATAAATAAAGAACCACGTTGCAATTCATGATACCCGTTGCAAATCTCAATCGACAAACAAACGTCCCAAACATATATAATTTCATCTCCCTTAACGTTTTTGCACGGTACGTATACAGATTTACGGCCATATAACTGAAAGAAATCGCCAGGCATTCAATCAATTCTTAACAATGTTGACCACTTCAGCGAAAGATAACAATGTCAAGCTTTTAACCAAGGTGAAGAAATTAAAACATAAAGAAAACGATCCATCTTCATGAATCAAGTGATACAGAAATTAATTACAGCATGATTCCAGCCGTCAGTACATGACATTGATCCCAGATTCCACCATTTTGCTTTTCTTCCCACAACGTTGTCCGTCAAGTTGATATCGCGGTCAATGCTCAGAAAAGAGCAGCAGCAGCAGCAGCAGCAGCAGCCAGTACTATAATCACGTTATGATTGATATGAATGGCACAGTATACTTAAAACCACTTCATCAAGACATATGGCCCGTGGATTTAGATTATTTAAAACATTTATTTCTACGGTCACCTTCAAATTCCTGATTATGGCGTCAACGACATTTGGTTCTCCAACTGAAGTCAATATGAACCGTAACTCACGGTTTTAAAATTGTCGTATATGCTACATGGTACATAACAAAGATAATTACCAACTTTACGACGAAATTATTTGTATCGTCAGTTTCTGGGACGAAAGAAGCTCTCAGTCTGGGTCTGTTGTTTACAAAGAATTGTTATTTAAATAAGGTTTTGGTGCATTTCTAAATGGGTCTAAATTTTCTTCTTTTTCGTTACCCAATTGATCATGATTCGTCCAGTTTGGCATTTTGGGTTCGTACCATCTGACACTAAACATCGATCTTAGATGCTTGTGCACAGGTTAAACATTCTCATTGATTTAAAGCTCAGTCAATAACATCACGTTCTACTTTACTAATCATTTTAAAGTTTCTTTTGGCGATTGCACTAAAATTACTTGACCTCTGATGGTCTCTTATCAGAGGCAATTAAGATCAGCCCACACTAAAACGAAAGCATTCGAGTCTTCCACTTTAATTGAACGGGTGTGACGGTAATTAGAAAAGGCTGGTAATCAGTATTCCTGGGAATGAAGACAAAACGAGCGCTTTCTTTGATGGGGCCAACGCAATGTCAATTTAGCTGAATTAGAGCTGAAGTGATATTCAATGGATTCTTGGACTGTAATTGTTAGACATTCTCATTTACAGAAATGGGAATCTGTCGAACACAATGGTAATTATGCAGAAGGGTAAAACTCAAATTTCTTGCACAAGGAAACAAAAAAAATTGTTGAAGAAGTTGTTAAGTTGCTCACATACTTGCTACTTCTTCTGTCCGCTTCAGATTGATCAATTAAATATGACAAAGCTGCATTGCTTGATGTCCTCTTTGAATGATGCCATCTTAAAAATATTCTTTGCCTGGTCCACCGACTATGATTAACATCATGGACATGTTGACACGAAAGCTAATGAGGTTCCAAATGGTCTTGATTGTAGCTTGTAGATATCAAAGCACGTCTTGTCCTTCCCGGCTTTTTTTTTTTTTTACGCAGTTGACATATTCCATACTAGTTATACTGAGCCATACTAGTTATACAGTACGTAGCGTACTGTAGAAGAATTAAGTTTTCAATCAGCCATACCTGGTTTTCTTAGGGCTCTGCCATTGAGAAAAACTGAGGACGGCCGTATTATTTGAATGTGGGGAATGAGGATAAGGTCTATGAATTAAAATACTGTATACAAGCGATCGAAATATTTTAATGAGAACACTCAGTACAAAATAATGAGTATTCCCTTTGCTGGAAACAATGCAACACAGATAACTTTTTTTTCTAAACTGAAAATTTACTAAAATATTTTTGTTTTATTCGTTTCTTGGTTAACTTTTTTGTTTGTTTTTAGTTTCTGA